AAAAACAGTCCTTGGAAGGGGTTGGACAGGTTAGGTTCTCTCACAGTGTGTCACGGGCTAAACCAGTGGCCACTGACCACGTGCGCCTTGCCATAGCCATAACTAGGCTCACAGTCACCCATTTTCATGAGCCACACCACTCACATGGGCTTATGAGTGAACATCGACTGACAATACAACGCCACATACATACAATACAAAGATTGTTCAAAGGCCCATTATTTACATGACTTCTTACGTCAACTCTTACGTAGAAAAGACCCATCTCTTACGTCCACCTCTGGGAGACGTCAGAAACCAGCCAATAAAGAGGTTATATATTGTATATGTATGATCTCCAAAAAGTTATCAATCAAGCATCAGCCCCACCTGCAGCTTCACCAAGGGATCACCGCCCTGACTCCAGCTGCGCACCACCACGGGAATGCAGCCGGCCTCACGGCCCGAGGATGCCATGGAAGCCATGGCCCATAGAAATAGATGATTTTCCCAGCTAAACCTCGAAAGCTCCATGGCTATTTTTGACATTTTCCCATGGCTATTTATGTTAGTCATAAGCAGATACTGGGAAAACTGAGGATGAAAGTGGGGATCTTAGAAACTCCATGAATACTATAGTTTTTTCAGTAGTATTATAAATTAATATAAATTATAAACCATAGTGAAATTGGAGTTATGTTCACCAGCTTAGCTAGCGAACGGGGGCCCCACATTGTAGCTATGAAACCTCCAAGCATGGGAGAACTCCAGGGTCCATGGCATCAACGTCCACGCCCAAAGATTGGCTTTAAGATTCTGAATGTTTTCTTCACAAACATTTGCCAAAGGTTCTAGCTTTCACAAACAGAAACATAATTTGGCCAGGATATTTTTGGGGATACAACTGAATTTCATGGACCAAATGTGGGAATGGAAGCATGGAAGATCAACGACGCCAGTAGTGGGGTTACAGGATGCATCAGTAGCAGATCATGAATCCAAAAAACTAAAAAATCAATTGACAACTGTTAGTTGGATATGTCGTGTTTGTCCCGGTCAAAGATATATACTATCATAAATACACAAAGAAATAAACCATTGGCAATTTATCTGGTGATTCCCAGACATATATACTATCTGGTGATTCTAAACAGATATATACTATCTGGTGTCTGGCAACCATTGGCCCAGAATCACGAGATGTCGCCTCCAATGACTCGTAGAGCCGGAAACTCTCTATGGATTGACCCGGCACTTGAAGACACATGGCACTGCTAAAGAGCTGATGAAGGTAGTGCTGGTCATAGCCTGTGGCCAAAAATGGGGGTGAATGCCCCGCTTTTTTTCCATGGCTTGTTTGAAAATCTAAAACCGCAAGTTGACACTAAAACATAGAGGGTGCCTGCAAATTCTCCAATATGTTCCACTTCTGGGAGACTAGGCGATCTACTGAAGTGGGATTCGGACCTCATCCAAGTATGGGTCTGTTAGGCCATCATCTAACATTTGGGCTACACAATGACTCTGACCTAAACCCGAAATGATGAAATCTTCTCCTCACCCCTTCCTGAATCATCATAAAGCTTTTCGAGGTGCCCCTCACCATCACCATCATTTCTGGGGTGTTGTTGACCCATTTTTTTCGCTCGCAGCATCAATTTACCCAGAGCCAACCGTTTACCTTAGATACCCTGTGAAAGTAAGAAATATATATTTCTATAGCTGGTTACATACTCTATATCCATTTTTTTCAAACAAGATTCAACAACAAACCTACACGTTTCCAGTTGATTTCAGGGCCTCAACTGACCCCCGCACCAGATCACCGAGGTTCCAGATCGAATCTTCGAGGCACCCGTGCTTTCCAGTACCAGGTCCTGGCACCGGTGGCCACTTTTCAGGCGCCATAGCCACATTGTGCGTTTGGGGTCAAAGCATATGGTTTATGGTCATCTATCTGTAGGGATTTATGGTATGTATAATATCTATAGGGATTTATGATGGTTTATACTTAGTTATCATCTATTTGATTGGCAATCCTTATAATAAGTATACAGTATATATAAATCATTGTAAATCCCTATAAAAATGGATTGATGACCATCCGACAATATGGATATACAATCCATCTAGCTTGACCATGGCAACACATGCTGGCCCCGTGTTGGACTATTTTACTCCCAAGGTTCTGAATGGTGGAGACTGTGTTGAATGATTCCTGCATAATTTTCTAGGCCAGCTTGGAAGCAAATGCCGGGATGAAATGAGACGAACAAATGGAGAACTTCAATTTCGGGCAGGAACCCAACTGAACTGGTCGCTGTTTTGCCTGGTTATTCAGATTACCGAAGTTCTGGGTACTCTCGGGGAAATGTAGATAGATGATAGAAGTGGATGTCACTGTTTCATACCCAATCTTCTGCTTGTCGGAGTTGACTGGCAATTGTGATTCCCTGAAATCCAACATGGAACCCCATCCAAAAAGGGCATGGCAAATGATACATGCCTAGATGTCTAGGGTGTATCTTTCTACAAACATCACATCCCACGTCTCTCTCCAACTTTTGGCTACCTTCTGTTTTCAAAAACACAAAAATGTAAGTAAAAAGTCTCTGATTCTATAGACAAATGAAGCATAGTCCCCCATACATCACTTGGGGATTGCCCATGCCTGCTCCAGCTCGCCATGTTTGTCACTTCAACCACCAGGCTTTTGGGATTTCCCCAGTCTCTCCACCATATTTCCGAAAAAAAACCCAAGCCTTCACTATTCTCCTGGTGAAACTTCCCTTATCCCAATTTCACTGGTCCCAGCTCGCCTTACCCAGCAGCTTCTGAGCTTGCAGCAAGCGGGACTGGCGTTGCTGGCTCGAACCGCCGAAGTAGATCTTCACAGGTCTGAGACAGCGACCGTGGCGATAGAGGGGACCATGCAGTGAACTCAGTGGATAGATTTCAAACAGTTGTAGGGATTAACTTAGTATATCCATGAATATATTTACATATATAATCATATATATGTATATGTATTGTACATATATATATATATTTATGGTTGTCCCAACTGATAGGGGGTTATTTCCATTTATTTCCATGTATATCGTTGTATCCATGAAGAAGCCCTGGCATGCACCCAAAAAGTAGGCATTGATGAGGATACATCCAGCACAATGAGGGTATTGCATGGATATAAGCAGTAAAAATGGGTTCCTAATGAAATAGCGTTGGCGAAATATATCCTGTCGGTCCTGTCGGTAAAAAAAAAACATTTAAAAAAAAACATTCAAAAGATAATAAAAAGCATTAAAATAAAACATTAAAAAAAATTGCCCTTAAAATCAAGTCATTAAAAAAACATAAATTGATTTCATTTAAAAAAAAAAACTTTAAACAAAAATGAAAACATAGCTCTGTCGCTGACCATAACGTCCTAAGTCCAACCTTCCCCCATTCGGGCTTTAAAAGCCATATGTTGGTTATAGCACAAAAACATGGAAGAATCCCATCCCTCGAAAATCCAATACATTCCACCAGTACCTTTGGGTGGTCATTCAAGACTAGAGGGATTTAAAAACTCTACAGCTAATTGCACAATCAAGATCAATCAAGATCATTTTCATCACCACCTTTTTCTTCTCCTTGTTCCATCTAAGAATTCTGGCTACCCCATGCCATCCCCGTGGGTTTGTATCATCTTCCGCATGGCCGTTCATGGCCATCAATTGGGGGGATCTCTGCCATTGCCAAACATACAAAAAACTATTGAAAATAGCCATTTATGGCGAGTTTTCCCATTAATAGCATGGTGATTTTTTCGTAGCTATGTTAAATTACCAGAGGGTATAGCTGGTTCTATATCCCATTTATATCCCTAATGAAAAATTATCCATGATATCCCAAATATCGGCCGCTAAATCCCATTTACATCCCCATGAAATCCTCATGTTCACTTGATGCTTATTATTGTATACGTATAATCTTTGCTTCAATGTATTGTTGGTTCATGTTGGTTAAATATCCCATCACCCCATGAAATAGCAATCAAATACCCATAGAAAATGCATGACAACATACGCATTTACTCGTTTGTAATCAAACATCGTTTGCTGGTAAATCCACCATTTATAGATGATTTTTGTTCCTGTATGTTCTTATGATGTTCCCGTTAAAACCTCCATTTCGTTCGGGGATTTCCCAGCCACCCACGGCCTCTGTGATGCGTTCTGCAGCTGCGAAACGCCGTGCCACATCAGTTGAGGCGTGGGGCCCAGGGGGAGGTACGTCAAGCGGCCCTGGCAGATACAACCATCCAAAGTGAAGGGAAAAAATGGAGAGCTCACCACGAAGAATGAGAGATTTAGAATATTCAGAATTGATGGATATTGATGGATATGGATATTGATCTATGATGGATTTTGGTATAACCACGCGAATGTTGGGATTTATGGTGGATATTTATACTTAGGTAATGTAAACCAGCCACTCGAGCGACTCTTGCAGTACCCGCCAGATAACGAAATGAACAGAATCGTCTATCGAATTGTGGGGATGCTCATCAACCAGCTTTATGGGGATGCTGCCGGGGATGCCAATTTCAACAGCATCCCTGTCCTTCCAGGTGATACTGTAGTTTTTGACTTTCACAGCATAGGTCGGATATGTGGCAAACCCATCTTATCGACAAAAAAAAAGATGAAAAGCTAAGTGTATGGATACAATCCATTCAGAATGAGTTTTGACAAGTTCATTATCTTCCCTTGTCCACCCGCACCCAGTGCATCACCCCGTATGAAATCTCCTCCTTCACTAGCTTCTCATAGCTGTGGTGCAAATCATCCGTCCAGAAGGTTCGAAAAACAAAACCTCAGCTAAAACATGCTGAAACCCAAGGAAAAGGGTGACCCAATGATGTATACCCAATAAGGGCATGTCAAGATGCTGGAAAATCCTATGACTAGCTCCATGGTTTTCCCATCTAGAAACCTCCCTGGTTAGTTCAGGGATTTCCCAGCAGCCCGCCATGTGGCTTATTACCAGAGGCTACCCCCTATATCCCTTTAATATCACATTGATATCCCCTTAAATCACCATTTTGGGATATCAATGGGATATGAATGGGATATGGGGGCGGGTACCAATGTCCAGCCAATATCCCAGTACTATCCCATTAAATCCCGCTAGTACCCCATGAATATCCTATGAAAATCCCATGAAATCCCATAAAATCCACCCCGCTGCCTTCTGGGGGCCACCATCCCCCGTTCGTCAGGCGGCCCCAGCGCCGGTAGGCATGTGCCCACGTGGGCGACAGATCCCCCAGGTGAATGAGGCTAAGCCGGCGCAGCCTGGCTGGCAAACCGCTGGGAAAACGCTGGGGAAATATGAAGAAAAATTGCATATCATAATGGGAATATTGGGATATCACAGAAATCATAGGGATATAACTTGATATAACGAATTGTAATAATTAGTGGGGAGTATATTTGGAATATATTGGCATAATCATGGGGATAGAAATCCACAATGTTATTGGATGTCTTGGGGGATTCCCATGGGGATTTCTTCTTGGAAATGATGGGTCTTAGGTGTTGCGAAAATCTCAGGAGTATTATTGGAAATCACTGAGAATATTGGGATGAATGGCTCAAGCTTAGGACATCTTACCAAGATTTACCAAGGAGTGCCAACACCATCATTTAACCTGGGATCCCACCGACGCTGCAGCAGTGCTTCTGCGGCCAGGCTGCTGTGTTTGTGCAGCCACATCCAAACCCATGGAGTATTTGCCTGGGCTGCGCATGAGCAATGAAGCAGACGGCGCGGGGAATTCCCAGCGTTTGGCTTCAGATAGGTATGTCTCTTGCAGATTTTCCCTAAACCAACTGTGGGATTTACACTTGGAGGCACGACCCAAGTACCGGATGTCCATCCCCTGGATGATCGCTTCAAATCATCACGGCGTGGTACCCCGTAGTTTACATCCCAAAAATGGACAGAATACCAGAATGATCTATGCAGCGATTTTCCTCATCATCAACAGCATCATCATCAACCCAATCTTCGGGGATTTCATTTATCTATGTGGTACCCAGGATTACCCAGTAATGTTAGTAAAGCAACAATAAACCCACCAAAAAAAAACGAAACATGGTTGGAATCCCACCCATAAGACGGCCAGACCATGAATTGAATTCCATGTTGATGATCCAACATGTCTGAGTGCTATAAACCATACTTCATCGAACTCAATCCCAGTTGGTTGCTAGCAATGATAAACCAGCAATATCTCAATGCTTTATACAGTACCACCCATACAACATGTTTTTTTTGGATCGTGGATCCTATTGCTTTACCAACATGAGTAGTATTGAAACATACCCCCAATCGATGAGACACTCCTGCCCAGGTACTACTGGTCAGGATAAAGACGCTCCCCGGGTGGACGTATTTGGCCTGGCGGTCGCCATGGAACTCCTGTGTTCCTAGGGCTACCCTCCCGTCATCCACTTGCTGGAAAATCGTCCATCTCTGACTTTCCCAGCTAGAAACCCTCCATGTTTGATTACCGGTACCTCAAATCGTGGGTGAGTCTCCAACATGCAAAATGACGCTTGGGATTTAGCCATCAGTTGGAGATATGGGAGTGTTATCAATCAAAGATACAGGGGATAGAGTTGATAAATGATGGTTGATAAGTTCATACAGAGGGTTACCATCCGGTGATCAAACATGGGCTGGAATTTTGTCTCCATGGATGATTTTCCCAGCTCGAAACCTCCATTTTGATCAGGGAGATGTTCCATTGCCATGTTGGATTGCCGGAGAGTAACCACCAAACGACCCACAGAAAAAAAAGGGCGGCATCATAGTGATGTTAAACCAGCAAAATGGCCAGTGAAATGGCAGATGATATATATATAATATATGGCTATTGGTCAAAACCCTGGCACCTAGTGAACCCCAAGTCATAGCTGGTAAATGGATGTTCATCCCATTAGAATTGATAATAATAGGTCTTGACCCACCCCCATATATAACCAGCAAAAAGATGCAAAAAGTGGGAACTACCAACCAACAATGAGAAGATCTAGGTCCCCGGCCCCTGCTGCAATTTCCATGATTGAGTCAATTGTCATCCGCTGTTGAGGTCAGTGGTCAGTGATAACCAGCAAGACACGTCAACAACGCTGCCGCCAGGCGACGATGAGCTGCTGTTGTGCACGGCTCCTTGGTGGGAAATATGCGTGTCGTCCTGCTGGATGCGTGATGTGAAGATTGTTGAAGTGTCCAATACTTTGATAAGATGTTGATCGAAGTCTTTAAATGGATATAGATAGAAGATGATAGAAGTCTTTAAATGGATATAGAAAATCATGTCCATCCAAATAAATGGATTTATTAGATCAAACAGATAAACGGGATAAACGGATAACGGATCCTGGATATCATCCCATCCCATTCCTGGTCATTTCGAGCATCCCCTCAGCATCTTTCTTTCATCATCCAGAAAACTGTTCGGATAGTTGATAAAAGTCGACCAAAAAAAAAAAAGGGATTTTATCATCCTTTATCCAAGAAATGGCTGTGTCTGAAAACATCTTTCCATCTTTCAAATCATTTATCCATCAAATCATTTATACCATCTCATTCTATGATTGGATCATCATCCCATGAAAGTCAGATTGGATCATCATCCCAACTATAATAAAAGTCATGTTCCAAACCACCAACCACTCTCAGTTCCAATGCATGATCATCCATCGAGCTTCGGCGATGTGATGATGCGGTGTAAATCTTCCAGACAGGCCACGTTCAAGTCGAAGAAGCCTCAAAATTGTCCGGTCAAAACGTGACCAAAAATGGGTTGAAGTCACATAGTTGTGTCCATGTTCATGAGGGTTTGTCTAAAAATAGAGGACAAACACACAAATCCCATGGTTTATTACCTCATTTCCCTATGTTCAATGGCTAGAGTTGGGGATATACCCTATTTTCAGACACACCCATTTTCGGTAAAACCATGGGATGGAATGGGCTGCAAGAATGGGTAAAACCATGATTTCCCCATGAAAATTGGGTGGGATTGTCCGTTGCCCTCTGGTAATTTAACAATCAACAATCACAACTTTAATGGGTAAAGAATCTATATCTATATATATATACATATTTATACATAAATGTGCTATTTTCAATAGCTATGATAAATTAACAGAGGGTATCAGGAAGGTCGTCTGCAGTAACAACATTCAAATCGGTCAGTCTTTGCGGGGTTATAGACCCAGGGCTGTTGTGATCACCAGTAAATCAAACTTGGCAATGGAAAATCTCCTCTACTTTGATTGATCATTTTACCCATCGCAATTGGTGATTTTGTCGTAGCTATTTTGAATTACTAGAAAGTGACATGGATGATCCTCTTTGTAATCCCTTTTCTTGCCTAAAGGATGCATCACTTCACTGCTTCGCTCCTGGCCCCAGGTTTTTCAAAAAAAAGACCACGACGTGGACTGTCGTTGGAAAGCGTATCTTGCAAATGCTGATCATTTCTCCCACATCCCCCCAAAGAATGTGCCACAACCGTGCAATACATATACATATATGCACACCCTTATACATATGTATGTGTATATATATAATATAATATAATATAATATATATATATATATAATATATATATAATATAATATATATATAATATATAATATATAATATATAATATATAATATATAATATATAATATATAATATATAATATAATATATATATATATTATATATATATTCTGTATACATATGCATTTCTTAAACCGATATGTCATGCACATTTTGCCACCTCAGTTCCAACCCGGCCCAAGGAGCCTAACATCTCACGCAAGAGCCACGGAATCGCTGGCTGCACCGGGACACCATTCGCCTCTTTTGAAGCCACCTGGGATCGCAGCTGTTTGGGGAACGAGGGAATAAATCTCAAAGACTTGGATGTAGGATATTCATATTCCATTCACATCCCAAAACAACATCCGTTCTTCATCTTCCATGAATAGTAGGGATGTTGTTGAATTAAATCCCAATTCATATTAGATATTAACAACATGCCATATTTATGGATTTCTTGAATGGGATATGAATGGGATGATGTTGTTGAATGATCCCGTATGGAATCCAATTAATATTAAACAATTAAACATCCCATGGATATGCCACTCACATCCCATGAAATCCTTCCATCCGGCGTTATCTGCACCTCGCAGGGCAAGACCACATCCAACGACTTGCCGCTGCAGCCGTGGAGGACGGTGCCTGCGGTTGGAACTGGTCATCTATGGATCCATCTATTCCTAGGTAGAGATATATTTTTTTATATTCATATAATGCGTGAAATGAAAAAATGAATATATGTTTATGTGTGTATATATATATATATATAATTGTTATGATTATTGTATATATATGTGTATGTGTATATAAATATATAGAGAGAGAGAGAGTCTATGGTTTTGTATGTGTATGTGTATTTACCACAATGTTAGTGGTGATTTAATGTTCTATCTTTTTTATGGTTACTACATACACAGTGTATAATGTGTATATAGTATGTATATATATATATATGTTGTTTCATCTATTTATATTTTTCTATTCAATTTGTGGTACAATACAGGGAGATGATAAAACATGAGCTTGCGAGTTTCTAGTAAGCCCCCAAAAGATAGATTAGAAAGCCAGCAAGACCCTACTAAAATCGTAGTAAGTTTAACACGTTCTACTTTTGGGGGGTTCAAAAAAAACCTAGCACTCATGGTTCTCCATGACCCTCAATCTCGGTAAGACACCAATAAAATCATAGCTGAGAGACAGATATCTAATCCCTGCATCTCAGCCTTGGAAAGTTCACAGGGAACCAAGGGTCACCTCAGAAAGTTGAGTGCCAGTGCCATTGCCCCTTCGGAAATCACCCAGCCTGTGGGTGGAGCCATGAATGGCTGCCCTTCTAACTGTGAAGTCTTCGAAGAGTTGGCCTGAGGCCATCGCTTTTGATCCATGACGATTTGAAGCATTTTAAACATCCCAAATCATCCCAACTCAACATCCCAGTCATGTTACAGGCCCGCCTGGCAGCCCCTGGGCGGTACCCTGGTCCAGGCCGGACTGCTTGGAGTGGCACTGCTAAAAGCCTTGAGCTGGGGGGTTCGATGATTACATAACCAGTGAGAGAAAGGGACATATGATAAAATCTTTAAATAGTGTAATATATATATATATATACATAGATGTTTATATATATATATACATATATATATATATATGTATATATATATACATATATATATATACATACATATATATATACATATGTACATATATATATATATATGTGATTACGTACACTACACTACAGTACACTACACTACATTGCATTGCATTGCATTACATTACATTACATACATATGTATATGTATATACACATGGGTTGGTGCATCTTGATAAGATTTACCTTACCAAAATTCTGGATAAAAAACACACACAAATTGGGGATTTGACCAACGAAAATGGTAGATTCCCCAGCACAACAGCCCTACTGGGATGTACCCGCCAGTAATCAAACATGGCAAGCTGGGATATCCCCTATAAGTGGAGCTTTTGATGGGAAAATCATCGAAGTAAATGGTGGATTTTCCAGCAAGCCACGTTTGATGACACCCCTTAGGGTAAGCAAAACAGGGTAGTGTTCCAACCAAAACGGAGATATGAAGCATCCAACCAGGGGATATCATCCGTCAAATCTGAAAAAGAAGACAGGATCCTATCCATATGGGGTAATAAGCAACTAGATATGGGTATGGGTATGGGGTTAAGCTATCTGGAACCTTGTAATTTCGCCAAGGACCGGCCTACCTTTTAGCTAGAGATTGGAGGTTTCTGCATGTTGCTCAGCTACGAACGAAAATTCAACAGATGTGGTAAACCATGGTAAAGCCAATGATGAACCTCCTTTTGAGGTTTTAATCCCATCCGTTTCTGACCAAATTGGGGTTGGTTTATTATCTGGTCACCACACCAGATCGTAAACCATCGTGAACCTTCGAATTTCCGGGGATGCTCAAGAAACTTTGCAGCCCAGCAGCTGTCTCCTCTTCTTCATTGCTGAAGAACACCTGCCTGGAAGGTTAGCGATTAGAAAAAATGAACCTTCTGGGAAGCCCCCATGGAGGACTCCGTATGGGTCAATTACAGCCCATTCCTGAGTCCATTCCTGAGTCTGAGTCTAAGTAGGGATGGAGAAAAACCAAGGCATTTTGAAACTTTGAAACCATCAGCCAGAGCATCATGCACCTTTATGGGATCCCGGAAACGTCACGTCACCAAGTCCAAGCACTAGACTTCAGGGTTAACATTTGGACCAGAATCCTCCAGACTGGTAGCCGTGGCGCACGATGGACCCACAAACTGTTGATGGTTCTTAGTATCAATCATCCACCTTCAGGACTGGGTCATCATTTTGAACACAATCCCCCTGTGATTCTCGTGGTGTTTTGAGGACTTCTTCATCCCACTAAGAAACTCAAGAAGTGATTGCTTTTCATGTGTTTTTCCATGAACAATATTGATGAAACAAATTGACCAACAATGGGACCTGATTCCAAACAAAAAACACCAGACTTCTTCTGTTACCAAAAAAAACTCAGCAGTCTGGGAATGGGGTACCCATTCCAAACATGATGCATACTCATCATGTTCGCATTTGACCTTTCGATAGAGGTATACCGGTATAGCCCCATTTGTGGACAAACCCAAATCTCTCTGTTTGCTGCTGAAATTCCCGAGATATTCGAGGTGTCCAATCTGTGTCTGTGCTGGGTGTATTTTTTTTGTGACCGCCCGTCCGTGTCTTTTAAAACCCGTAACTATAGATATAAGGGTATGGGTCAATACCTATAGATACATTTTTAGTGGGTTATTCACATCCATAAATCCCAGCTATGACTTGGGGTTCACGGCACTAGGTACCAGGGTTTTGACCCATCCCCAATAAGAAAACCCCAAGGATCCCATGGATTGGTGGAAATTCACCACTTTTTTGAGTGGAACAGAAGTGTTTTAACTGGTGCTCCATCTTGCCCAAACCGGCGTCTTTACCCAACAGCAAATATACAGTATGTATGTGTATATATATATATATATGTATATATGTGTATAATTGTGTGTGTATATATATATACACACACACATATTCCCTACAGATTCTCCAAAAACAGATGTCCTATTGGGAGAATCTGCGGCAAAATCACGAAACACGCTCCGCCGCGCGCCTCAAGAGCTCCGCCGTGGACTGCGTCCGGATGCCCCCGGAGAAAGTGGCCAAGCATAGGAGGCTCCAGGTCCTTGACGGGGCCCAGGGGGCCCTAGAGATGAGGAGGATTTGAAAGGGACTTCACCAACCAAAAAGTGTGATGTTGTGGGATTTCATGGTATAGGGTGTTTTTGATGTGGTTTTAAGGGATTTTATGGGAGTTATATTATATATATATATACATATTGTATTCTGATGGATATTAATCTGGTTGGTGGTTTCAACCCCTCTGAAAAATATGAAAGTGAGTTGGGATGATGACATTCCCAATACATGGAAAAATCCGAATGTTCCAAACCACCAATCAGTAATTATTCATACGGATTCTATTCGGGAGTTCAGCAAAAGTCATTGGGATGTCTATGGAACCAGAAAGTTGATCATGGCAAATTCGCCCCGTTTTCAGTACCTTAGACAATCCATGTTTGAGGCGAAATCATTCTCATACCCCATGGTATACAACCAACAAGTTGTGAAATGAGAATTGGGTGTATGTATGTATATATATAGATATAACTATATAATACTATATATATATATATACCTTTCCGTTGACAGCTGTTACGTGTCTACATTGCAGATTCCGCTGGACGAACAGCGGTTGGGCCACCGTGGGCGCCCGAAAAAAGGACCGCCGCTATTCCGTTGTCAGGATTGCCATAGGTTGTCGAATATTCAGCCATCAGTTGAGGATGGTGATACACCCAGGTGGCTTAGTATACCCAGTACGAGGTTTGATAGGAATGGCGTCTCAACGGGACCCAACCAGAGTGTTGGCTGAATCTCCGAAGGCCTTCAAAGTAGCTGGGAATATCTGGGATTTTATGGAGGTTTCATCAATTTCATCCCCAAATTATGGTGATAGGTTTTAAGTCATCCCACCAATGGTCCCCGTGACAGTTGCGTGTCCCCATCAGCCATCATAAGTCGAGTCCTCAGCGACCATAGTTTCATCCGCCGCAATGTATCCAAGTTCACAAACCAACACAATGGGATGTCAACAAAGACATCCTTGAGCCGAAAGCACCACGAAAACGTCATCAAATCCCAATGCGGAATCCATGGGGGGTACACCGCATCTGCTTTGAGGAATCTCCGTTCTGATCAATTTCGCATCCCCATGTCTAACGCTGCATCCGAAGTTCAATGTCTGCATCACGTTTCCCATGCCTCTGGGTGATTCAAATCGTTATATCATGTTGTATTACTATATCTATCTATATCTATCATTACATCTGTAAGCCCAGTGCTTGCTCTTCGAATTCTATTCTATATCTGCATTTCCATTCCCAATGCTATTTCACCATCCTGGGTCTTCAATGGTTCTATCTCCATTTCCCCTTAACAAGAAGGCCAACACACTAGTACAGTGGCCAAGTGTTGCCCATTTATTGGACGGTTCTCATCCATTGATGTTTGAAAAAAAGAGAAAACACTTATAAGTTGACCCAACTTGACCCAAAGTTCTTTCCCTGGTGTTATTTCGTTTTGACCCATGGGCTTATTTCATCCCCTGCCGGTGCTTGGTTCCCCAGACCTCTTCACCCCTCGGAGCGCTGGTGCTTCAGCAGCTCCCAGGGCTTCATCTAGCTTCAACCAGTCCAGTCCTGCCATGGCACGTATTTCCGATCGTTAATGCCGTGGGAAAATATAGAAAAATGTTGGAAGAAAAGGATCAAATGTTGGGAAAATCCTCAGTTAAAATACCCTCTGGTTATTTCACATAGCCATGGTATAGATGGCCCATAGAAATAGATGGTTTACCTAGCTATAAAATGGTGATTTTCCATGGCAAACTGTTAGTCATAACCAGGTGGAAATCGCGTTCGTTGCTGTCCACTTTGCAGTCGATGTGTCCTTCGAATCTGCGAGAAAGTTCCCGGGGTTGACCCAGAACCGGGGTAGTACGGTACGGTTCCCACGTATAGCAAGCCTCCAAAAAAAAGTATGGTAAATGTTCACTATTTCCAGAATCGGATTTCACGTTTCTAGCATTTTCTAGCTTTTTGGAGATTGCCAAAAAAAAAACTTACAATCTGTTCCACAACCAACAGCCCCTTTTTGCATGGGTCGCATCCCCCGGTCGCGAAGGCTCCTTCATTGGTACATTTTTCAACCTCAGTTGTAATCCCACAGAGACCATTCCCAGCTGGAGCTGGAGATTTTCAAGGGACAAATTGGTTGTAGATCATCCAATTCCCCTACTATTAATGGATATTGATGGGTTATATAAGTTATATAGGAACCAATATATATATATATAGTATAATAAATTATAGTTGGATATTGATAATAATGATGGATATCAATGAAACTCCTATCCCCCGAATATTAAAAACGCCAAGTGTATGGTCCCAAATATCTAATTTCATGACATACTAAACTAAAGCCTGGTTTCTGATCAGAGATTATTTATTGAGAAAATCAAGTGGGATTTTGTGTATACAAAATACGTGAAACTTCCTAACCAGCCATTTCAGTTCCACATTTTAAGAGTTCTGCATCCGGCATCACCAGCAGCAGAATCGTGGTGGATCCATGACCAACATGCTGAGACCACAAGCCACAAAGGTTTGCAAGTCGCCGAAGTGCTGAAACCTCCAGTGGTGACCATGTTTTCAGATCAACCAACTGCTAGAGCTGGGTGGAACCTGGAGCTAACGTAGATGAGATAACGCTGAAAAAAATCACAGCAGGCTTGTGAACGGAAGTACACCACTGGAGTGAACAAAAAACACAACAGGTGCTGCAGTTGAATTTTTTCAGCGTCGAAAAACCGCGATGATCAAATGGCCATGAGCAAAACCCAGTGGCAATGCTGTCCAAGGAGTGCAGAAAAATAGACCCTACTGGATGATTTAGAGCACTTGGGGTGATTGTATGACTTGACCCATCCGTAGCCCTACCAGAAACTGATGATCAAATGGGCATTGATCATGCACTCAGATAAGGTGTCTTATCTTTTAGCAGCTACTAAACATCACTAAACCATCCAGTTGCTTTCACCCTTTGCAAAACGGTTTATCTCGAAACATGGTACGCCAAAATCGCATCGTTGATCATCATTTACCAATGAAACTCACCATAGATTTGGGGATCCCCCATTGTTGGACATAAGTTTCCTAGAAAAAAAAAACAAGTTCTACACGAATTCCCCATGAAACTCACCATGTTTTGAGCATTTTTGAGCTGCCGGGCCTGGCAGCCACCTTGGCTCCTTCTACGTCCAGGAAACGGCCTGAGCTCCTGGGAATGGGAGTTTCAGGGGATTTTTCAGGATTTGATGCGGATTTTCATGGCAAAGTTCCCTTCGGAAGAATTTGAAGGGATTATGAAGTATGAAGAGCTGATGCGGTTCTGTTTGTGGAAATGAATGGAGGAGGTAGAAGTTAAATTTGGGGACAGACGTTCCTTTTGGGCGGGTGGTCATAAGATGGGGGGCGGTTGCAACGTAAAATCAACTGAAGTGAAGGGCCCAAAGAGACAAGTTGGGATTGTCGTTGAATTTCTTCATTCATTTTTTGGTCGCAACGATCCGGCGCGTACTACTTGTAGGTTTAAAAAGAAACCAAATCAGCCCTCACCATTCAAACTTCGCTTGTAGGGTACCCAGCTGACTGAACTACAACACTTCCTTCTGAAAAGCAACAATTTTAAGGATGATCCCATAGCAAGTTGATGAGGTTATACTACGTTCCAATACACAGACCCATCAGGCGCTCGTCATCCAAATAGACCACTAGACCAGCGCATCCGGCGCATCCCCGACTCTTCCGCGCTCCGACACTGGAGATAGATCTCATCCTGCGGGAGGGTTGCTGGTGGTTCTTGACGATTTCACAATCAATGAGAGAGTTGAATAGGTGATACTGACAGGTTGATATTTGCTACTGATATGTGGGGGTTTCCATAAATGGGGGTATCCAAAATGGTTGGTTTATAAGGGAAAATCCATCATAATCCATCTATAAATGGATGATTTGGGGGTACCCCTATTTCAGGAAACCCCTATGTGTTCATGGGGGTAGATCTCCCATAAAATGGTGGCGATTCGTATCGCGGAACTAAGAGGCAACTCGGCGCGGCAACTCCAGAGTCTGAGGGATGTCACTGACAAGACCTTGAAATACTGATTGACACAATAAGAGCAAAAATGAAGCGGGAAACTCAAACTATCTTTTGAAGGGACAAACAGAATTCAGGGCCCAAGGCCCAAGCGTTGATTTCCTGCATAAATCTCCGAATTCCCGTGGTTTCAATGCCAAACTCCACCCGCTCCGAGTGCAGCAAAGGACGTCGCTGGTTGCGCTTCAATCGCACCTCAGATGAGGCGGGGAGGATGGGGAGGCAGCTGGGTCAAGAAATGATGGTCTAAAGATGGTCTAAGAAATGATGGTTTCAGCAAAATGTTGATACCATTTTCTACCAAAAGGATCCAAAAGGTGGCTCATTCCAGTGGGTTTCGGCCCAATTTTTCAGTGGGGAAGTGGGCCTAGTGGGATGATCATTCTGGTGTGAAACTAAGCCACTTGCAATTCCTGGGCAGTTCACCACCAGATGAAGTGGCGATTTTCCATGCTGAACCCATTGGGGGAGTACTTGAGCATCCGGGCCATCGACATAGCTAATCACCCACAAACTCAACCGATCTATATGGATATATCATGATATACCTACACTAAACCCTAGTTCAGCAACTTATAAACCAGCTCTGCTAAGGATTGGCACCACATGCCTTGTGCCAACCAGCTACTGTACCACCCACCCTGGCCCTTCCTGGTTTCTGGGTCCCGTTGCCACCAACTCGGCACTATTCAAACGATGATGGCGACCTGTGACCTCGCTGAACTGGTTGGACCTCTAAATCAATGGGAAAATCATCGCCATGGGTTGTTTACACCCCCAAAAAATATGGTGCTTTCCGGTGAAGATCTTCCCAAAAAAAAAATAAGAGAACCATCGCAGATATGCAGTGGCAGTGGTTGCAGATGGTTGCAGAATGCAGTGAAAAACCGCACTCCCAGGGTGTCCCCTTCTGGAAAAAAAAAACGTCCATGCACCATGGTGAAGCCTTGTTTAGCCCCAACACATCGTGGTTTCCTGCAAGCTTCCAGGGTTTCTGGGGATGATAGGGGGTAGAACCGTCCTGAAAGGTACTGAAGCACTGATGGTCTGGTTGGTTGTTTCAATTTCCCTATTTTTTTTCAATGAGGCGCTGGGAATGTCTGTTTTGGAACAGAAGGTGAAACAGATTTGCAACCACCCTGATCATTTGGTTTTCTTCACTGAATCTGCTATTAACACAGTTACCAGGAAAGTGCTGCATAGGGGAATGGCAGTGATGAACGCAATTTCTTTCCATCCTGGCCCGTCATTTGGATCCGTCCAAAAATGGGGGATACCCATATATATATATTATGTATATGATTTTATACAATTATATATATATTATGTGATTATATAATATTATATGTGTATTAGATAGCCAAGAAAATAACACTGAACACTTGGATTTGGAGATTCTCGGGGGCACCTATAGACCAAGACCAACCCTTTTTTCATGTTCCAATCAAACTATCCTTCAAACGGATAAAAGCCCTGTTGCTGATGGTAAAACCCCATCATGTTACACCGGTCATTTTTCATTGGTGGAAACCCCACCCATACAGATGGCAAAATTTGGTGATGGTGGATCCTATTGCTTTACTAACATTATATGTGTTGGTAAAACCTCCCATGGTTGATCATGATCCATCAAACCTTCCAGGGCAGGGCACCTTTCCGTTTTGGCTCACTGCCAAACATGCGCCTGGCGGCAAACCCGGAAAGGACGGGGGGCACCACAACGGTTGGTGGCCGGCGAGATTTCTGATCGGACAGTCAATAGTTTCCGTTGTTAAGAAACAGTAAGTCCACCAATCCCTTTCAAACGGCTGTCATTTTTTCAAGTGGTAGGTAGGTTGATTTTTGCAAGCACGCATCTGCTTGCAAGTCAAAAGTAGCCTAAAAGGCTCGACCCTTTGGAGGCGTCGCCAGTTTTTGAAGGTGAACGAACTGTTTGAAGACCACGACACCCCCTCGGGTACCCGAAAACGACGACGCCTGTGTGCGCCAGCAATCTCACCGCGTCACCTTCGTGCACCAGTGAGCCTAAACCAACCTGGCGGATGGCTCCTGGAGATGGGAATCCCAAGACATGGGGCCACTATGGGCCACTTAGCCTCTGGTAAACCAACACTTTGCTATTGAAAATGGCCAGGAAAAGTTCGTTGATTTACCGATTTAACCACGAAAAATGGTGCATGTTTCATAGTTTTTGCTATGTTTACCAGAGGGTAAAACAGATAGCCCGACTTACTGAGGTTGTAGCTATGGTTTGATCAGCTACATCTCCAACCTATTCCATGGCATGGGCCGAATCCCAGGCCTTTCAGGGGTATTACCCCGGAAATCACACATGGCTGGGCAATCCCCTATAAATGCGCATTTGAAATCATTTAGATGGGCCATTTTTGCAGATTTTCCAGCGAACCATGTTTTTTTTGACTAGAGGGCAACCGCAAAAAAATGGGCTGTAATGGATATGCAATCTACCAAACTTGAGGCTTTACATAACAATTAAAAATGAAAATTAAAGACATGTGACCCAGCCAACCTGTGCGAAAAGATGTCGCCTAGCCGATGACCCGTTTCCACCATCCACCCCATCCACCGGCCCCCCTGTTTTGATCGAGACGCTACGCCGTCCCGCAGGGAAGCAGCCGACGGACAAAGCACAAACGTTTGCCAGTCGCCTCCTGATCCAACGGATGGGACTCTTTTCGGTCAAGCCGTGGGAGACCCAAAAAAAACAGCAAGTGACATCCAGTGACGAAATGGGTGCATTGACAGCGCATTGAAACAGGAATGTTCCGCCCCAACTTGCGGAAAAATTCGACCCCATTTGAAAATGAAAAAAAACATCCAACGACCAGTGACCAGTTTCATGTGAAGCCCCTTCCGCACTGAGAAACCAGCGATCATACCAGCGCGCTGACACCTGCCGAGCCAAAGAACTGTCTCTGGGCTGATCCAGAGGACCAGCCCAAGCGAAACACATCGGGCCCCAAGTGGCCAGCATGGGAGCTGGGAGGCCCAGAATTTCACGGGACCGGTCAACCACCAACAAAATCAACATGTGGGTCTCTGAATTGCAGGATACCCCAATTCATTGCACCGTTCATCGCGAGAATCATCATGATCAACCCGAGAACTTCGGCTCAGACCTTAGTACCTTCCACGTCCACACATCGCCCTGTAAAGGCGCGCAGACACACGGCGTCGCCGTAGCGGACCTCGCCGCACTGGGAAAATGGAGATCGGTGGTTGTCCGAAGCAGATCTTGTTGCTGATCTTCCTGTAATTCCCAATGCTATTCCATGTATTGGCTGGTTGAAGCCCGTTGAATCCCATATATTTGCTGGTGAGTTCGCAAGAAACTTGACCCAAAATTCCTATGAACTCCCATTTTGCATGGGCGGTTACCACCCCGTAATTCAACAGTTTGCTCTTGAAAGTTGCCATTGAGTTCGTTGATTTACCCATGAAAAATGGTGATTTTCCAGTTCGCAAGCTCTTAAATTACCATAGGGTATGTCAATGAAATTTCTATCCCATTGAGTCACCATTTAGTCACCATTAATGGTATAATAATGGTATAAATGGTATATATAATGGTATAAATAAGCATTGAGTCATTTAGTCACCATTCATCTATGGTTCCGTTGAGTCACCAGTCACCTTGAAATCAGCAACCAATCCCAATCCCCAGCTCGACCACCGCACGGTGCGTTCGGACTTTGGCTCCAGGAGCGTGAGCAAGGGGTCCTGGCGACGTAACATGACGTAACCAGGTTTTTGTCATTCCAAGGTGCTGGTGAAATAAGCCATAGATTCATATAGATCCAACATGATCCAATAGATTCATATAGATCCAACATGATCCAATAGATTCATATAGATCCAACATGATCCAATAGATTCATATAGATCCAACATGATCCAATAGATTCATATAGATCCAACATGATCCAATAGATTCTGACTCTCTTAGATTCTCTTAGACTGTCTTGGATTGCTCACAATGTTGCCCACCTTGCCACGTCGATCCCAAGGTGGCAAGGACAAGGCGTCACCTTTTGGGCTTTTGGTAAGGCAGCAACGGGCGAATTTTCCCAGCTTTACGGTGGAAAAAGATGCGGAAATGCTGATGTTTATTGATTGAAAGAGGAAATGTTTACGGTGAAATGAGTTTCTACTCCCATCTCCAACCAATGGATCTCATCCGAAAAAATTGAATGAGGCATGCACCTCCTATGGCAATTCATTGCAATGGGCTATCTCTGATTCGAAGTTGGAAAATGGGCATTTTTTATCCCCTGGCATTAACGCTATGTTGAATAGATGGGTGTCAATAATCATACGGTACATCTTTTCGATGCAGAAATTAGACGAATGTAATTCGCCCCGGTAAAGAAAAACGAAAAATGTCTTGGGGGGCACACAGTCCGTTTCGACGGACTTTTAAGTACGAAGACCATTGTTGTTGATGTGTGGTTGTAATCATAGACATTGACGTACAATACCATGGGGCTTTACGATGGACTAAGGGATAAATAAAATACAACACACAGAGTCACTGGATACCAGCCTCATTAACTTGTGAAAATTGGGATTTCAATCGAGCAATCATGTCAACATATGTCAACCCTACAGTGGGTCAAGACCTATAATAACACTTTTTTTGTTTCGAAAGGCAATGAACATCCATTTGCCAACAGTATTTTGATTCAAAGTATAGGGTACATTAGGGTACTAGTATTCTAATCATTTCTAATCCATAGTCATGGCCATGTTTCCCAAGATTCATGCTGGTATCGAGGATCTGCTCCGCTAAACCATGGGCCAACCATGGCCCAGGTTGCCACAAAATTTTTCAAAAATGAGGAAACTAGACGATCTGCCCACGTTTGAAAAATGAGTTTGAAAATCCATGTTTATTGATAAAAATGGGAAAAATCTACAGGTGAAATAGACCATGGTTTCTAACATAACATCCATAGAACCGGGGAAATGGTTTCATCATCCAATTCTGTGAGTTTGATTTGTCTGAAAATTGGCTACCCCATTCCATCGCTACCCCATGTACCCCATTCTATGGCTTGACACACCCAGCTGAGAACGACTCTCCATAGTGAGAATCCTCTTGCTACACTGGATAGTTTTTGACCCAGAAAAGAGTCATCCAACAGGGCTTTTGAATATGAGTCTTATTTTGCTTATCTGCAACCCATATTTAAAATATCTATTATCTATGTAGTTATTGTTGGTATTCCTATGGTATTCCCATGATATTCCAAGCTGGTCTCCAGCTTTTCCTGGCGCTTCGGCAGTCTTCAGGTGCACATGGCACTTCAAAATCGCCAGCCGGCAGCTGGTGACAACTTTGACGGCGAGCGACGCAGAACGCGTAGAACCCAGGGGACACAGGGGACGCAGCGCCCGTGGCTTCATATTTCAAGGCATTGCAAAATTACCTGTATACATATGTGTATAATGTATAATATATGTGCATACGTGTGTGTATATATATGTATATATATATATATGTATATATATATATGTATATATATGTATATATATATGTATATAGATATATGTATATATATATATGATATGATTATGTATCTATGTATGTATATTTGCATATATGTATGTCCATTTGCATATGCAAATACATGCGGGGGTTGATCTAAATTCTTTTCGGCGGGAAACGACCCTTCTTCGCCAAATATGTCGTTTGGCGAAACTTCGTCAACCCCATGTCTTTCGCAGGACCCATGTTGGGAGATATGAATGGTCTTCGCAATCATAAGTCTTTACAAGGACCTTTAGATCGATCCCTATCTATGTGATTATATGTGTATATGGGAAAATCGCCTGCAAAAATCAAACAAAATAAGGACATCACCAGTAAAACTTTCTCAGCGGTCATGTTTCATCATGTTTCACACGAAATCTTCCAATTTGGGCAGTCAATGATCGAAAAATGATGGGAATAACACATATGTCATTGGTATATAACCATTATTTACCATGATTTATATACCATTATTTACCATTACTTACTATTCATTATGGTATTTTGAGCCAGAGGATATTTTTGTTGGCTCGATGCAGGGCAGCTTCTGAAAGAGAAGGAAACCTGAAACTGCACCCCCCGGATGGCTCCACCGTCGACAGGAACTATCTACAGAAATAAGTCGCTTCCTCCCAAGATCAGTCCTGAAACTATCCTCCCAACATTCGGAAACGAAGCTTTTTGAAACGTATCTTCTCCTGTCTCATCCTAGGAAAACCACAAACGAAAAGTGCTGGGAGGCATCTGAAGGGGGAGACACCTACAGAAAAACGGGTCAACAAGGGACCAATTTTTTCCAAACACGCAATCCGCCCGTCGTCTCAGAAGAACTCAGTGCGTCCCTGCAGGGCAACATCTACCAACATCCCTGAATTCTTTGTCTCTTCATCATGTTTGTTGGATAACCAGCTTGGGATTGTCTGAAGAGAAGAGTAAGTAGAGTCCATTCCATCTCATGCTTCAGAAACTCTCAGAAACACACTGTTTCCCAAACTGAAACGGCCATCAAATGATGGTCTTCCCCAGGTTTTCCGATCCCAAAAAAGGGCGGGCCAACCGTCGGCCTCGGGGGAAGCTTCGCTGCCTTTCTCCTGTCAAGGTCCAGTAATCATGGGAGGAATCCAATGGCCCATTTTTGGGATTGGGATTGATATGTGTTACCCCAACTGGTTGGTGATTAATGGTGCTTTAATGGTGATTTAATGATGGTTAATGATGATTAATGATGCTTAATAATGGCTGGTTGGTGGTTGAGCCACCCCTCTGAAAAATACGACTTCGTCAGTTGGGATGATGACATTCCCAATATATGGAAAACAAAAAATGTTCCAAACCACCAATTTAACTGCCATCGAGCTGATTGCCTCTGGGCAGTAGAAATGCTGGATTGAAGTTCTAAAATCGATGTTAGTTTGCTCGAAAATCACTTGCTAATGACCCTTGGTGGTTTGAATCCCCTAAGTATGGCAATCTCATAGATGCAGAAATCTGTTGTGATCCTCCAAGTACAGGTCTTCTTGTTTTTTTGCACTTGCTGCGTGCCAGGGAATCACTATGAATCACTATGAATCACTATGACTTGGAAGACTTGGAAGACACCATTTTAAACCAGTAGAAAGCCAGAAAAACGCCCATCTGTGGTTTTTTTCGACCTCAGCAACAAACCATGGAGATAACTCCAGTCATCACCATGATCATCCCCAAATAGTTCCAAGCATTCTCCGACCCACTTCTGTGGGCGTTCCCCAACATAACCATGGTCATCCGTGCTTTCGTATGTATGGGTATGGGTCAAGACTGCAGGACCCAACAATTCAGATCCAAATACCTGCACTCGTGGATGTTCATTCCCCAAGAATATAGTAGAAGAGGTTTTGTTTTTCCTATTTTGTCTGGTTCAATCCCTACTTTAGGGTAATTTTGCATTTGTTTCCCCATTCATAGATGATTTTCCCGTGACAAGCCCTGATTTTGCCACTGGCATAGTGCATCAGTTTGGGTGTCCTCAATCTCTTCCACCGTTCGGGAGTCTTCAGTGGGTCCATCGTCCTATCCAGCCCGCGATTTTCAGATTGAACGCGTGGTACGAAGTTCAATGGGGATGTACCCAGAACTGAGGATATCAAATAGGAGTTGCTGTAATTGAATTTCTTGAACTACTCATAACTTAGGGTTAGGAATTCTTTGAACTGCCCTCCAGTCATTTACAGTAACGTGGTACCATTTGCAGATGATTTGCCCATATTTTGGCATTGGAAGTTGGGAGTTTCCATTGTTAAACTGCCAGAGAGTACCCATAACTCACGGCAATTAGTTGAAATCCTTTAGGAAAAAACGGAAAGACGTTGAGAAGCAGCAGGGGGAGCATTTGTCTACTCCTTGAAAGATTTGGGACATCAATTTGGAAGAGACCTTATCAGATATGAGATGAGCCTGTCGGAAACTCCTTTCCCAACCCCCCAACTGGTTTTTTCCAGCTCATGTCAGGTGGCAGGGCCCTCAGGCCATCCAAAAGTTGGAAAAAAACACCCTACTTTTTCAGGAAATTCCAAGGTTTAAAGCCTGGTGTCTTCCCCAAAAAATATATTTCGTGCTCCCATCTACAAACTAACCTCATTACCTAACATATAGGTTTTTTCAGGAGTATCATATCACATCACATCACATCATATCACATCATCAAATGAAAGGTTGAAAAAAATATTGACAGTATCTTATGTAATAATTCCCATGTGTTAGATGGGGCTGATTCTCCTCACCTCAAAAACTCTCGTCTTTCCCTTCTCCCAGGCCTGTTCCGTCGCCAGCAGCTCCGGTGCTGGAAGCTCCGGCTCCGACGTCGGAAGGGAGACCTCCGGTCGGCTGGGGGAATCTGGTCTGGGGAAGTTCCTGTTGCTGAAGAGTTATGAATAGTTAGAAGTCATCAAGTTTTGTTCAGAAACTGCTATACAAATAACATCAAATAACACCAATTAGCTATAGCCACTATTGGTGAAGAAGTTACCGTTGGTAAATTTGTAAATGATGAATAGTTCATAGTGCTTGATATCCCAAGTTTCAAACATGATGACTGGATGATGGTCTTTTTGACTCGGCGAATCGTGAATACACTGCCAAAGAGCCAGGTTCCTTACCCCGTTGCTCAAACTCGAAGTCCTGGAAAATCCTCCAGAAAAGTAGAGAAACGACATCTTGCTCAAATAGGAATTCCCATCCATCAAGCCATGTTTCTACCACATAGCCACATAGCCCCTTACCTTTCCTCTATATTTTAGAGGGGCCAATCAAATTATCTGACCACCGAAGGGCTGTCCCACTTTGGGGTTGTGAACTCCCAATGGATGGGTCAACACCAATGTGCATATTCATCAGGCAACCAATGTTCCCCATAAGTATTGTCCCTCTCCATTCCCCAAAATTAGCTGGCAAATTCATGAAACTACTGCCAGTTTTGCTGCAATCAAACCTCCCCTCCAGCATAGTCATTTTCCTCGCACAATCTTCACGTTTTCGACGTCAGCGCCATCATCTGCCACCAGTCCTTTGCAGCGTCGTTGCACCGTCTTGTCCAAAGCGTCGTAAGTACGTTGGGTGATGCAGCGGACAGGTGGCCACCATTCAGGATACTGGATTTGGAAAGCTTCCGACACAAACTCCACGCTTGGCAGAAATCGAATCTTGTTCGACAGGTTTGGAGTTCCTCCGTGGAGAATCCGCACGTCGCGAAGCAACGCCGCGCCCACTGGCACTGGACAGAGCCGAGAGTGGCGCCACTCAATGGGCTCTGTTCTGCCATCCCAGTCCAGTCTGGTCTTTCCCGGCACCATGCGAATGGGGCCGTTCCAAGTTGTCAGAGGTTGAACGCAGAAGTTGACTGAGACGAAGGGCGGAGGCATCTTCTCATCGTGAAACTTCATCTCAATGTCACCATGTAGGGGCTGATATTCCTCCACACCAGGCACGACGAAATCTCCGCCGCCACTGTAGCACTGGAAATCGGCCTTGCCATCTTTGTGGAAGATTTTGCATAGCAGTGGCTCTAGGATCACTCCTGCACCCAACAGGTGTTCCGAGAATTCAGGAAGATGCAAACTGGATCCACTTGAGAAAGCTGTACCGATGCTGTAGCGGCCCTTTGCTCGATTTCCCCTGGGGTCTATCTCTATGATCTGCCGGGCGACGTCTTCGCAGGTCTTCAGAACTTTCTCAGATTGATCATCTGTCAAGACGTCGTTCACGATCACGAAGCCAGCTCTCTGGAAGATCTTGAAGGCTTCATTTTCCCAGCAGGGAACTCCTGGCCGCTGCCACGACACTGTGAACTCCTCTATCTTCAGAGTCGATTCTGGCGGCTCTTCGTCCGCAGATCTCTCTCGACCAGAGCATCTTGGACTTCGACTCGCAGCTTCTTCACTGCCAGTGGTTTCACGCGGCATACGCGGCATGGTGCCATGCCATTGGGTCACAGGTGCCAGTAGTCATTTGAGCCTATATTGCCACAAAGTTCTGCTGGTTTCGGTGCTGAGTCCTGGAAATGATTCAGTAAAACAAACAACAAACACTTGTGCCATTTGGAGTTTGCTCCCCAAAAGAAAATGCTGCAAAACCCTCACTCAAAAACAACAGCTTCACACTTGTTCCGACACTCTTCGATTCTAGATGCTGTTCAACAGACCCCAGAGAAGTCTTTCAAATTTTAGGGTTATCCCAATCCATTACTCTCCGGCTCAGGCAATCCTGCTGGATGGTTTGGGTAATCAATGGAGACCCCTCCTAGGTCCTAGATTTGAGATAAATCGAAATAAGTACAGTTTAAGGTCCACTTGCGATGCCTGGGATGCACACCCAAGTATGTTCAACGTCGACAGGATTCATAAAGCCTTCCATGTATAAATGGGTGATAGCCACGGCTACCAACCATGTACTGTCAGGTGACCTGTTGAAACGCTCCAAATGTTTGGTAGAAACCAAGGGAACAAATACCCTCTGGTAAACTAACATAACTATGGAAAATCACCATTTTTCATGGGAAAACTCGCCATAAATGGCCATTTTCAATAGTTTTTTGCATGTTTGCTAGAGGGTATTTATTCAACGAATTTCCAATCCATGGAAGCGACTCAAGACTATCATCCACAGAACTGATGGTTTCATATTACATATGGATCGTTCACCAGCCTAAAACCCTGCTTGAACAAGCCGCCAAGAAATCCTAATCACGACGATTCTGCCAGTGTTCATGTGAATATCCATATGTTCCTTACCATTCTTTACCAAAGTCCCAAGGTTTGCTGCTACTTTTTTGGTATTTTTTTAGTCACCTTTTTTGGAAAAACACCAGATATGACATCGCAATATCAAAATCCCCTGGTTCCACCTCGTCGGGCTCGTCCTCGGGCGGCTCCCACCAGGGCCCGTCCTGAAGGGCCGGGGCCCAGGGGCGTTTGATGTTTGATCTGTCACTTCGATCTTGAATGTTTTTTCTTTTAAGGGGGACTTGCTATGTGTATATATATATACATTGTATGAGACATGTTTGAATATATATATATATATGTACATTGATTGATTGATTGATTGATTGATTGATTGATTGATTGATTGATTGATTGATTGATTGATTGATTGATTGATTGATTGATTGATTGATTGATTGATTGATTGATTGATTGATTGATTGATGATTATTCATGTACCTATGTGCATGTTCCAATCATTTCCAAACTACATTGTCAACTTTGTTCTCTCCGGCCATATCAATATCTCTCCGTGCCAGAATGGCTTTGTCTGATCATCCATCATCACTTGCATCACTCGATGTTTGGGTATGATGTGATTAGCTTGGGGTAAACATTTATCATAGATGTGGAAAACCCATGAAAACCCATGGTGTCCCTAGATCTACATTTGTGATGGGTTTCCCAATTTCTGTTAGTTTACCAGAGGGTATACCTTCGCCGCCCAGCCGGAGCCTGCTCTTGGTAAAACATCTCTTTTGGCAGCGGCAGGTCCTGGAACAAACACTGCGGGGGCATTTTTGGGGCTGGTTTCAATGGATGTGAAGAACCTGTAAGGCGTACGGCTTAGTATGTGTTTTGTTCTGACTATGATAGGGAATGATGGGATTGGGGATTATCTAGGATTGATCAAAGGGAAGGTTTGCGGGCGAAACGGCATTTCTTCCCAGTTTTTGGGGCTAAACCGCCCGACTTTCTGAGGCTCGGCCCAGCCTCCGGCGCGGCATCTGGCAATGGGATGACTTCGTTGGCACCGGCACGACGAGGTTCGGCTTCCTCCACGCCAGCGGCCTGTCATCGCATGGCTTAATGGTAGGTTCCCCAAGCATAAGGCTTTCGTCAAGGCCCAACAACCAACAACCAACATCAAAAAAGTATCATTAAGCAAGGCTTATGTTAGTATATGTTTGTTGGTTGTTGGTTGATAAGGCCTTAATTGAAGTTTGATTCTTGGGGTGATCACCTGCCTCGTGGGGGTGGTGATGATTCCCGTGATTGTTACACCCCAAAAAGTGGTGCTTCAATCCCTGTTGAAGTTGGACTACTGGGTATGGCCTAATTGCAAAGCAAATAAGTCACCAAGAAGTTGCGCATGAGAGTTACAACGTAGCCACTGAATTAATGCGATAAACTCAAGATGTATGCAAAAAAAACAATTACTGTAGATATAGATGTGGAGATATAGAGATATAAGTACAGACAAAGATATAGATATGGATATCGGGATTACACAAAATGTTTCATCGATAATAGACCATAGATACTAGATTTGTCATGACAGATATAAGATATATCGGATATCTAATGTTTGAAAAAAAAATGTGTACAATAGATGTGTACATATACATATATATATGTATATATATACGTATATATCCCAAAATGGAGGTAGCCGGTAGCCCCAAATCATCTATTTTGTTGTTTTATTGGGGTTTCCCGTTATAAGCCATCCGTTTTGGGGTGCCCCATTTTAGGAAGCTCCATATATATTTATTTATACATACTGTATATATACATATACAGTATATCATGTATACATATCTAGGTCTATGCTACACTACACCCACATGGCAACCACGACCAGCAGCCCACCTGTGCAGAAGCCTGAGGTTCCGCCTGCGGGCCCCAGAGGTTGGGAGATGGCACCTATATAACCACGATATACCATCTGGTTATTTAACATAGCCATGGAAAATCACCATTTTTAATAGGTAAACCCAGGTAAACCATCTATAAATGAGCCATTTTCCATGGCTATGTTAAATAACCAGAGGGTAACAACAAATACTTATGGTGAAATATATTGAAACATCTATAGAATCTATGTATGTATATATGTAGATACATCTCAGAATCTCCACGCAAGAAAAAGTGGAACTGCAACCAAAAAAGTTCAGAACCATGTTCTCCAACATGGCAATCTGTGCCAAAGTTCCTGGTCCCAAATGGCAATTTAACTAGTTCTGTAAATCATCAAACTAAATGGGTCATTTCCATGGCTACAGCTGCAATTTCAAGAGGGTAACCATCAAAACGGTAGAGGTTGACCTTTTCCTATCGCTGGGAGGAAGCCTAGACATAACCTGACGAATTTATTCAGGAGTCAATTCTGATTTGGATGAAGACTGGACGCCCCCAACGGTTTACAAGTAATTAAAACCTATCTAGATACATATGTATACATCCATACTATATGACAGATATATAGAATGCAAAATCATATCTACAGGGTATGTCTATATGACATGTATACTATATGTTCAATGTATATATATATACACTATGAGTATATATATACATATACATGTGCATGATATGTATATATATACATATTGATATTATATTCTACATATATATATATACATATTTATTTATATATATATTACAGTATATATGTATATATATATATTACAGTATATATATATATATTACAGTATATATATATTACAGTATATATATATATTACAGTATATATATATATTACAGTATATATATATTACAGTATATATATATATTACAGTATATATATAGACATACAGTATACATCTCTACACATATCCCAGATCCAAATTCTCTTGGGCCTGTGCCCATTTGAGTCCATATCCTACAGGAGTAGTGGTAAAGTCTGTTTCAATCCTGGTGATCATGGTAAAATGTGGGTACGGTTTGTAGGTCTTTACTAGATGTACCACAGTTTGGTTGCAGTGGAAACACTGGTCAATCTCCCTATACACAATCATTGGTGCTTCAAATACCTGGCCTCAACGGGCGGCGAAGCCGCTTCGACGGGCTGACTGCTTGGCTCGCAAGCAGTGGGCCAGCCCTTGCGCGCAAAGTGGGAAGGCTTATTAAGCCTGTTAACCTACTGAATATGATGAAGTGCCTCCATTTTTGCAGATCTCTTTGCCCACCATGGTTTTGGATGCTTTTGTTGCTTTGTGCTGTGGTTTCTTCCATGTTCTTGCGCATCAGTTTCGTGCTTGAGCATTGTTGTTGGTTCAAAAAAATGCTGGTGTTTCATTTTTCATCTCACTTTCCAGGGATGGCAAATGGCGCATAGCAATTCCCTCAAATGCGCTGATCGCATGTGTTCTACAGGGATAGGAGACTCGGTAATTAGTGCATATCAATGCCATGGGGAAAAAAAAAAAAAAAACTCAGCCCTCATCAAACATGGCTGGGAATTCCCTCCATCCAATGGAGCTTTGAACAGGAAGTTCATCTACAAATAGGGGATTTTCGGTTGCCATCATTGCCGGGGAGTATCATTGCCATAGCTTGGGTAAAATGCCCCAAATTTGACATGTCAGAACATCTCATCACTACGAAATGAATCAGTTGCAAGGCCAATCTATCATGTTGCTCACTACAAGTATCTTGCGCCACCATCTGTTGGCGGTATCCCCTCCAAGAAAACGGCACATCCCCATTGCCGTAAGTCTGTATATATATATATAAGTAAATGTTGATGCCATGTTTTGGAAGGCTTGAGATTTCACGGTTTGTTCAGTGACGGGTTTTGTTCGCGTCTGATTTCTTCTACAGTGCGTGTTTGCAATTCAACTTCTCACTAGCTAGTGATTAGACCGTTGTTTTTGCAAGTTGGTGGTGTTTTTGCTGCTCCTTCTTCTTCTGCTCCTTCTCCTTCTCCTTCTCCTTCTCCTTCTCCTTCTCCTTCTCCTTCTCCTTCTTTTTTTTATTGTTCTTCTTCTTCTTCTTTTATTATTCTTCTTCTTCTTTAATTCTTCTTCTTTTTCTTCTTCTTCTTCTTATTCTTCTTCTTCTTATTCTTCTTCTTCTTCTTCGTCTTCTTTTTTTCTTTTATTTTTCTTCTTCTTTTATTCTTCTTCTTCTCCTTCTACTGGGATGCACATCCAATGTTCCAAGATGGAAATGATCCGGTGACTTGTGAAGTGGTTCATAACTATGGTTTTCGGCAATGTCTAGAATCGCAAAGACGACGCGGCTATATCCAACAGCTGGGGGACAGCCACAACTATGGCATTTCACCCCTAAGACAGGAACCAGTTGTCAAGCAGAATGATGATTCCACTTCCTGTCCAGTGTAACCACGTTTGTCAGATTTTTTTCTCGGGCTCAATGCCCTCGTTTCTTGCAGACTACAAGCATCTTCCATGGAAGAAAACAGGACATTTCTATTGCCGTCTGTATTTCTCTGCTCTATTTTGCTTGATGCATACCCCATACCATCCCGGTGTTTGTTGGTTGATATCTGCGAGCATGTCAACGATTGCCGCCAAAAACACATATTGTCCCTTCAAAATGGGAATGGTGTTTAACCTTTAATATTGTGGGTTGTGTTGCTTAATGCATTGTTTGTCTCACCATCTGGCACCTTCAAAAACAAAGCATCTATTGGTGTTTATTCGCATTTGCAGAATTAAGATTCACATGTTGGGATATCCGAAGATATGAAGATATCCCCAAAGATTGGATGACCATATCCCACCTGGCCTCAACGGACGGCTTCGCTTCAACGGAGGGCTCCACAGGGCTTGGCTCGCAAGACGTGGGCCAGCCCTGGCGCGCAAAATGGGAAGGCCTACTGAATCTGAAGTGACTCCATGTTTGCAGATTTTTTGCTTGTTTTGGAAGGTTTGAGATTTTAGAGTTTGTTCAGTGTTGGGTTTTGTTTGTGTCTGGTTGCTTCTACGTGTTTTTGCAGTTCAACTTCCCATTAGCCAGTGACTTGACCATTGGTTTTGCAAGTTGGTGGTGTTTCTTCTGTTTCTTCTGTTTCTTCTGACTTTTGAGGCATAGAACATGTCATTTTTTTAAGGGATTGCAAAGGTTACATAATGTGACATACCAACTGGCATGCACATCTAATGGTCCAAGAAAGCCCAGGTAGGATGTCAGGTGACTTGTGAAGTGGTTCGTTACAATGCTTTGGCAATGTCTAGAATCGCAAAGACGACGCGGCCATATCCAACAGCTGTTGGATAGCCACAACTATGACACTTGGCGAGTAAGACACGAACTGGTTGTCAAGCGGAACGATAATTCCTCTTCCTGTCTTGTATCACCACCTTTGGCAGATACTGTTTCTCCGGTTCAATGCCCAAGCTTTTTGCTGGTTATCTTCCGTGGAAGAAAACAGGACATCTCTATTGCTGTCTGTATTTCTCTGCTCTATTTTGCTTGATGCATACCCCATACCATCCCCGTGTTTGTTGGTTGATATCTGCGAGCATATCAACTCCTGCCGCCAAAAACACATCTTGTCGCTGAAGATGAAATGGTGCGGCTTAACCTTCAATAGTCGTCAATATTCCAAGCTTTGTTGGTTGATGCATTATTTGTCTCACCATCTGGCACCTTCAAAAACAAAGCATCTATTGGTGTTTATTCGCATTTGCAGAATTAAGATTCACATGTTGGGATATCCGAAGATATGAAGATATCCCCAAAGATTGGATGACCATATCCCACCTGGCCTCAACGGACGGCTTCGCTTCAACGGAGGGCTCCACAGGGCTTGGCTCGCAAGACGTGGGCCAGCCCTGGCGCGCAAAATGGGAAGGCCTACTGAATCTGAAATGACTCCATGTTTGCAGATTTTGTTTGCTTGTTTTGGAAGGTTTGAGATTTTATAGAGTTTGTTCAGTGTTGGGTTTTGTTTGTGTCTGGTTGCTTCTACGTGTTTTTGCAGTTCAACTTCCTATTAGCCAGTGACTTGACCATTGGTTTTGCAAGTTGGTGATGTTTCTTCTGTTTCTTCTGTTTCTTCTGTTTCTTCTGTTTCTTCTGACTTTTGAGGCATAGAACATGTCATTTTTTTAAGGGTTTGCAAAGGTTACATAATGTGACATACCAACTGGGATGCACATCTAATGGTCCAAGAAGAAAGCCCAGGTAGGATGTCAGGTGACTTGTGAAGTGGTTCGTTACGATGCTTTGGCAATGTCTAGAATCGCAAAGACGACGCGGCCATATCCAACAGCCGGGGGATAGCCACAACTATGACACTTGGCGACTAAGACACGAACTGGTTGTCAAGCGGAACGATGATTAAGACACGAACTGGTTGTCAAGCGGAACGATGATTCTCTTCCTGTCTTGTATCACCATCTTTGGCAGATACTGTTTCTCCGGTTCAATGCCCAAGCTTTTTGCTGGTTATATTCCGTGGAAGAAAACAGGACATCTCTATTGCTATCTGTATTTCTTTGCTGTATTTTGCTTGATGCATACCCCATACCACCCCCGTGTTTGTTGGTTGATATCTGCGAGCATATCAACTCTTGCCGCCAAAAACACATATTGTCGCTCCAAAACGAGATTTGTGTTTACCCTTTAATATTTCGGGTTTTGTTGGTTGATGCATTATTTGTCTCACCATCTGGCACCTTCAAAAACAAAGCATCTAGTGGTGTTTATTCGCATTTGCAGAATTAAGATTGACATGTTGGGGTGTCCGAAGACCATATCCCACCTGGCCTCAACGGACGGCTTCGCTTCAACGGAGGGCTCCACAGGGCTTGGCTCGCAAGACGTGGGCCAGCCCTGGCGCGCAAAATGGGAAGGCCTACTGAATCTGAAGTGACTCCATGTTTGCAGATTTTTTGCTTGTTTTGGAAGGTTTGAGATTTTAGAGTTTGTTCAGTGTTGGGTTTTGTTTGTGTCTGGTTGCTTCTACGTTTTTGCAATTAAAGTTTCCACTAGATAGTGACTTGACCATTGGTTTTGCAAGTTGGTGGTGTTTCTTCTGTTTCTTCTGTTTCTTCTGACTTTTGAGGCATAGAACATGTCATTTTTTTAAGGGATTGCAAAGGTTACATAATGTGACATACCAACTGGGATGCACATCTAATGGTCCAAGAAGAAAGCCCAGGTAGGATGTCAGGTCACTTGTGAAGTGGTTCGTTACAATGCTTTGGCAATGTCTAGAATCGCAAAGACGACGCGGCCATATCCAACAGCCGGGGGATAGCCACAACTATGACACTTGGCGACTAAGACACGAACTGGTTGTCAAGCGGAACGATGATTCCTCTTCCTGTCTTGTATCACCACTTTTGGCGGATACTGTTTCTCCGGTTCAATGCCCAAGCTTTTTGCTGGTTATCTTCCGTGGAAGAAAACAGGACATCTCTATTGCTATCTGTATTTCTTTGCTCTATTTTGCTTGATGCATACCCCATACCACCCCCGTGTTTGTTGGTTGATATCTGCGAGCATATCAACTCTTGCCGCCAAAAACACATCTTGTCGCTGAAGATGAAATGGTGCGGCTTAACCTTCAATAGTCGTCAATATTCCAAGCTTTGTTGGTTGATGCATTATTTGTCTCACCATCTGGCACCTTCAAAAACAAAGCATCTATTGGTGTTTATTCGCATTTGCAGAATTAAGATTCACATGTTGGGATATCCGAAGATATGAAGATATCCCCAAAGATTGGATGACCATATCCCACCTGGCCTCAACGGACGGCTTCGCTTCAACGGAGGGCTCCACAGGGCTTGGCTCGCAAGACGTGGGCCAGCCCTGGCGCGCAAAATGGGAAGGCCTACTGAATCTGAAGTGACTCCATGTTTGCAGATTTTTTGCTTGTTTTGGAAGGTTTGAGATTTTAGAGTTTGTTCAGTGTTGGGTTTTGTTTGTGTCTGGTTGCTTCTACGTTTTTGCAATTAAAGTTTCCACTAGATAGTGACTTGACCATTGGTTTTGCAAGTTGGTGGTGTTTCTTCTGTTTCTTCTGTTTCTTCTGACTTTTGAGGCATAGAACATGTCATTTTTTTAAGGGATTGCAAAGGTTACATAATGTGACATACCAACTGGGATGCACATCTAATGGTCCAAGAAGAAAGCCCAGGTAGGATGTCAGGTCACTTGTGAAGTGGTTCGTTACAATGCTTTGGCAATGTCTAGAATCGCAAAGACGACGCGGCCATATCCAACAGCCGGGGGATAGCCACAACTATGACACTTGGCGACTAAGACACGAACTGGTTGTCAAGCGGAACGATGATTCCTCTTCCTGTCTTGTATCACCACCTTTGGCAGATACTGTTTCTCCGGTTCAATGCCCAAGCTTTTTGCTGGTTATCTTCCGTGGAAGAAAACAGGACATCTCTATTGCTATCTGTATTTCTCTGCTGTATTTTGCTTGATGCATACCCCATACCACCCCCGTGTTTGTTGGTTGATATCTGCGAGCATATCAACTCCTGCCGCCAAAAACACATATTGTCGCTCCAAAACGAGATTTGTGTTTACCCTTTAATATTTCGGGTTTTGTTGGTTGATGCATTATTTGTCTCACCATCTGGCACCTTCAAAAACAAAGCATCTATTGGTGTTTATTCGCATTTGCAGAATTAAGATTCACATGTTGGGATATCCGAAGATATGAAGATATCCCCAAAGATTGGATGACCATATCCCACCTGGCCTCAACGGACGGCTTCGCTTCAACGGAGGGCTCCACAGGGCTTGGCTCGCAAGACGTGGGCCAGCCCTGGCGCGCAAAATGGGAAGGCCTACTGAATCTGAAGTGACTCCATGTTTGCAGATTTTGTTTGCTTGTTTTGGAAGGTTTGAGATTTTATAGAGTTTGTTCAGTGTTGGGTTTTGTTTGTGTCTGGTTGCTTCTACGTGTTTTTGCAGTTCAACTTCCCATTAGCTAGTGACTTGACCATTGGTTTTGCAAGTTGGTGGTGTTTCTTCTGTTTCTTCTCACTTTTGAGGCATCGAAAAATACCTCTTGAGAGATTTCAATTGTCACATCTAAACTTTTTCATGGATTGCAAAGGTTACATAATGTGACATACCACCTGGGATGCACATCCAATGGTCCAAGAAGAAAACCCAGGTCGGATGTATCTTTCCTGGAGGATCAGTTGACGTCTGAAGTGGTTCGTTACAATGCTTTGGCAATGTCTAGAATCGCAAAGACGACGCGGCTACATCCAACAGCTGGGGGATAGCCACAACTATGGCACCTGGCGACTAAGACACGAACTGGTTGTCAAGCGGAACGATGATTCCTCTTCCTGTCTTGTATCACCACTTTTGGCGGATACTGTTTCTCCGGTTCAATGCCCAAGCTTTTTGCTGGCTATCTTCCGTGGAAGAAAACAGGACATCTCTATTGCTATCTGTATTTCTCTGCTGTATTTTGCTTGATGCATACCCCATACCATCCCCGTGTTTGTTGGTTGATATCTGCGAGCATATCAACTCTTGCCGCCAAAAACACATATTGTCGCTCCAAAACGAGATTTGTGTTTACCCTTTAATATTTCGGATTTTGTTGGTTGATGCATTGTTTGTCTCACCATCTGGCACCTTCAAAAACAAAGCATCTATTGTTGCTTTTTCGCATTTGCAGAATTAAGATTCACATGTTGGGATATCCGAAGATATGAAGATATCCCCAAAGATTGGATGACCATATCCCACCTGGCCTCAACGGACGGCTTCGCTTCAACGGAGGGCTCCACAGGGCTTGGCTCGCAAGACGTGGGCCAGCCCTGGCGCGCAAAATGGGAAGGCCTACTGAATCTGAAGTGACTCCATGTTTGCAGATTTTGTCCGCTTGTTTTGGAAGGTTAGAGATTTTATAGAGTTTGTTCAGTGTTGGGTTTTGTTTGTGTCTGGTTGCTTCTACGTGTTTTTGCAGTTCAACTTCCCATTAGCTAGTGACTTGACCATTGGTTTTGCAAGTTGGTGGTGTTTCTTCTGGTTCTTCTCACTTTTGAGGCATCGAAAAATACCTCTTGAGGGATTTCAATTGTCACATCTAAACTTTCTCATGGATTGCAAAGGTTACATAATGTGACATACCACCTGGGATGCACATCCAATGGTCCAAGAAGAAAACCCAGGTCGGATGTATCTTTCCTGGAGGATCAGTTGACGTCTGAAGTGGTTCGTTACAATGCTTTGGCAATGTCTAGAATCGCAAAGACGACGCGGCTACATCCAACAGCTGGGGGATAGCCACAACTGTGGCACTTGGCGACTAAGACACGAACTGGTTGTCAAGCGGAACGATGATTCCTCTTCCTGTCTTGTATCACCACTTTTGGCGGATACTGTTTCTCCGGTTCAATGCAAGCTTTTTGCTGGCTATCTTCCGTGGAAGAAAACAGGACATCTCTATTGCTATCTGTATTTCTCTGCTCTATTTTGCTTGATGCATACCCCATACCATCCCCGTGTTTGTTGGTTGATATCTGCGAGCATATCAACTCTTGCCGCCAAAAACACATATTGTCGCTCCAAAACGAGATTTGTGTTTACCCTTTAATATTTCGGGTTTTGTTGGTTGATGCATTATTTGTCTCACCATCTGGAACATTCAAAACCAATCGTGTACTGCAGCTTATCATAATGTTCACAATCAAAAAGTTACATTTTGGAAGACTGTACCCTCTGGTAAACATACAAAAAAACATTGAAAATGGCCCATTTAGTTCGTTGATTTACCTATTAATAGCATGGTGATGTTCCATAGTTATGTTAGTTTACCAGAGGGAATCCCATCGTCCCAGCAGACCTTCTCCATGGTTTTTGCAGATCAGTTTTTTACCGACTTTTTTTTCCGTGCGGAAATGCCAGTTTTGCAGTTTTGTAGGTTTTTCCTCCTCTTCTTCTGGCTTGCAAGGGACGGAAGCCAGTTTGTAATCAGTTTCCACGTTCAACTTACCACAACTTGAAGAATTGCCCACTGATCTGCTAGTTTGTGTCAAATGATATCCCGTGATATCCCCTTATATCCCGTTGTATCTCACTCATATCTCCACAATATGGTTGGCTAAATATGTGTCGCCCCGTTGAAAATCTGCTGTTCAGTTGTTTATCCATGTTATTTGATGGTGTCATCCCCTATTCTGAGAATAGTACAAGTTCTTAAATTATTCATTGAATCCATCCCCAAATCTCCATGTACAATATTTAGTAGTTCCCTATTGTTGATAGCTAAATATTGCTTCAATACATATTTTCATTGAAAAAAAAACATGTTTGACCGGTTTCTGATGCTTCAAAAATCCCGAAACGCCTCATGCACCTCGGCCTTTGACCACCACTGGGTCCCGTCCTGACTTAAGACGCTTTTTTGACACCTCCATAATATGTACACATAATATATTCATAATATCTATATATATATATTATTTTATCTGAATCTAGTTATTTATTCATTTACACATGTATACATTTATACGTATATACATACATATATAGCTGTAGTTGGGTACCCGTATAATGGTGATTCAGGCTGGGATTCCCCAGGCAGTGTTGGATTTTTTCATTGGGATCTTATGGGATGGTTCCCCTTTTGTCCAATTGCCATCATTCCAGTGACGGAAAACAGGCTCATTTTAATTCATCCATATATATATATATATATGTATATAAAATGGTACTATCATATATATATATATACATAAGATATAATATAATGTACATATATATATATCCAATTGGGGTATGTAATGGGTATCTAATGTGGGAATAGAATTGGCAAATACGACAACTAACCAGCTTCACTAAGCAAAAAAGGACTTGTTTAGCCATGAGATGTGGGATTCACCAGCAAATCATGATGGATTTCATGCGGTTTTTTAGTAGGATTCATGATGATCATGATGGATTAATGGTATATAATGGTATTAATATAATGGTATATAATGGTATATAATGATTAATGATGGATTAATGGATTCATGATGATGTCACCAAGGATCTTTGGGTAATGAAACATGGCTGTGAAATCCCCAAAAATCCCATGGACTGTGAATCTGGGATCCTTGGAACCTCCCAGTGGAGGGCCACAGGGATCCCGGCCGTGGGTTTTCGGAGGGTCCCAATTCTAAGAGGGCTACCCTCTGGTAATGACTAACATAGCTATTAAAAATAGCCATGTATAGCGAATTTACCCATTGAAAATGGTGATTTTTCATAGTTCTGTAACAGTTTACCAGAGGGCGTGAAAAAACCACCGACCAAATATTGGGTAACGGTCAAGACATGCAGAATGGAATAGCCAAGAATTCTGCACTTCCCAGGGCTACTAACCCATGCACAAAAACAGAATGAGCCCAATCCTCCCACAAATTTGGTCGTTTTTGCTCGTATTGACAAACCCATATCCAATGGTTTACGACCCCATGTTCCCTGTCATAATTGCCATAAATTCCAGGGTGTAACTGAAAATAGAGCACCCCCCAAATCTCATGGTGGTGTTTCATAATTTTCCTTTGAAGATTATTATAGTTTGTCGCATCCATCTTTGGACAAATCCCAGTCCTTATTCACTCATGAATTCCCATTTTTTGCGGCAAATTCTTGACTTTGGCTGAATAGTTTCCCAGTCGGATGAATGTACATCCCATGATATCGAGTGTATCTCATCTGTTTCCATGGAAAAAATCACCAGAAATGGTCCTCCCGAACCGACTCTTCGATCTCGGGTGGATCTGTGGACAGCGTCACCACTCGAAACGGCGCCGTTTCTGCAGCTTCAGCCGCCTGAGCGAAGGATGGGAGTCTCGGGGAATTTCGCCATGGAAAATGGGCCGTTTATAGATGAGTTACCCATTTAATGGTGATGGTCCATAGCTATGTTAAGTATCGTTTTGCATTACCTGAGGGTATGATCTAAATCTCAATGTGCAACAACTTGTTGGTTTCCTCCTTTCACCCAGCCTTGCCTCCGGCCTCCCTTTGCACCAAGGCGATTCATCCTGGTGATTTTCCATGACTTGGTCGGAAGTTTACCCAGTCGCGGTATGGGTCAAAAACCACAAAAAAACACAGAGTATGGGTCAAAAATACTGAAGAAGGTTGCTAATGGTTCCACAAAATTGGCCCGTTCAGCATGAAAAAATGCAACAAATCATTCGTTTGGGGAGGTGACTATCTAATTTTGGCCCATACCCAATCTAAACCTAGCGAAGGCAGGAAGCGTCCAGTTGGTGCCAAATGGTTTCCTTCTAGAAGAATAGAATGGGCTAGTTTCGTATACATTTGCAGAATGGTTGTCATATATTGTCAGAATGTTGTTCAATGGGTAGGCTACCCCTCTATCAACCAACCAGTGAAATAAAGACATCTGCAAGTCGTGCAACACCTTGACAGCAAGCAGAATTTGCAGACCTCAAAAGCAAGATCATCTTTTCAGATTATTCCTCCTATCCCAAGCCCTCGTCTGACAAGTGGTGCCCCATATTTAGCTACAGTTGCGTCATAACTAACTACGATAACTGGTGCGTTTATGGACGATATTCATCTATGATTAATTCAATCTATAAACCAACCTGGAACCAGGAACTTTACAGGCGTGTATATATATATTACATATGTATATTGTCATGGTCAAAACGCCATATGAACCCTATTACTGTAATGGATTCATGACCAGCTCCCATCCATGACCATCGCCCAATATGGGCAATTACAAACCTTTTGACCATCACACATATAATAATATTAAGCAAATATATATCACCAAACAGATAGAAAAGTTCCGATTTATCACTATTTCTGTTATGTACATCTATATGTACATCTATATGTACATCTATATGTACATCTATATGTACATCTATATGTATATCTATATGTATATCTATATGTATATCTATATGTATATCTATATGTTTATCTATATGTATATATATATATGTATATCTATATGTATATATATATGTATATCTATATGTATATCTATGTGTATATCTATGTGTATATCTATATGTATATCTACATGTATATCTATATGTATATCTATATGTATAGATGTATATCTATATGTATATCTATATGTATATCTATATGTATATCTATATGTATATCTATATGTATATGCATATCTATATCTATAGCTATATCTATATCTATATCTGTATCTATATCTATAGCTATATCTATATCTATATCTGTATCTACTGTATATCTATCTATCTCTATCTGTCTATCTCTATCTATCTATCTATCTATATCTAATATCTAATATCTAATATCTAATATCTAATATCTATATGTATATGTATTGGTATTGGTATTGGTATTGTATATATATATATACAGATAGAATATAGCAACCCAAACAGATATACCTATAGATATACATATAGATATACATATAGATATACATATAGATATACATATAGATATACATCTATACATATAGATATACATATAGATATACATGTAGATATACATATAGATATACACATAGATATACACATAGATATACATATAGATATACATATAAATATACATATAGATATACATATATATATACATATAGATAAACATATAGATATACATATAGATATACATATAGATATACATATAGATATACATATAGATGTACATATAGATGTACATATAGATTTACATATAGATATACATATAGATGTACATATAGATATACATATAGATATACATATAGATATACATATAGATATACATAGACATATACATAGACATATACATAGACATATACATATATATGTATATATATATACTCTATATATCTGGGTAAATTATATATAATATTCCACTACCCTGAATTAAGGCCATTTGGGGATGATTCCCCTTATTAACCATGATTCCCAGTGAGGTCGCAGTGAGGTCGTTATAATTTACCCAGGTATATGTACTCTATATATACTCTATATATGTACTCTATATATGCACTCTATAATTACATCATATAGATCATATCTATTTATATCTATATAGTACACCATATGTATTTATATGTATATCTATATGTATATCTATATGTATATCTATATGTATATCTGTTTGGGTTGCTATATTCTATCTGTATATATATATATACAATACCAATAGCAATACCAATACATATACATATTCAGGTCAGCCAGGTCCCCACGATTCGTTGCCCCAAAACTCCTCCACCGGCTCGATCTCCGGCGGATCCGTCGAGGGCGGCTGCGTTTTCACGCGCCACGTCTGGAAAAAACGTGGCGGGTCACGGGGGTCCGGATAAGTCATGGGGATTTCATGGGAGATATCACCAACGTCTATGACGGGTGAACCAGCCCAGTGACCACGAAGTTTAGTCACTAACCTTCCTTTTTTGTGAACCAGTGAAAAGTCAATCTTTTTCTGGGTGCTTCACCCATTACCCAAGATTTCCCTACAACCTGGTGCCCCTGTGAGATCATCGTCCCAATTCTCAACTCGCATCCATAACCACCCCCATCACCAGAAATGGCTGGGTATTCATTCTGATTTGGAGGCCCTCCAGTAGCGTGGCAATGAAAAATCCCCACATTTAGTTTGACGGCTGCATCTGGAAATGGCCTATACCCCAAGAATTGCTACAAAAAAGTGGGAAAATGAGCTTCTAAACGCCATGTCGGTGTGTCTGAAAATGGAGTATACCTACAATTATTGCCATTTAATACAACCATTTATCACAATTATAGCCAGTGAACGTGGTAAAACGGTGGCCTGCGTGCGCTGCTGCGGGACATGGTCCACCTCCTTGGAACAATGGAATTGAAGCAGCCAACATCGGGGACTATACCATCGAAAATAGCCATTTCACCATATTTCACCCATGGATCATGGTTTTTTCCATGAGAAAATCATCTTTGAATGATGGATTCTCTGCCAGATTTGGTTGCCGGAGGGAAAATCGTGTTCCCATTCTTGGCCACAACTTGGGGTCCACGATCTTGGAACAAACCCACTGAAATGTCACATTGCTGGTTACATATCCCATGGTATCTCATCAATATCTGCATAAAATCGGTGGCATACCCTCATGGATCGGTTGCTCCTGCTGGATCGGTGATATTCCAACTGGCAGCCATATCAACTGGTTAAAAGAAGCCTTCTGTTGTCCATGATTTTCCCATGTTGATTGCCATCAATTTGGCTTTGTCTGAAAGAGACTGTTCCCAACTTTCATAAATGTGTCATCATTTTCCCATTTGGCCAGAGTATCCCGGGCTCATGTTCAGACACCTCCAGATATTTGTTGCTTATAAGTTTTATTTCATTCATCATGTTATATATATATACATATCATATATATATATATATTAATATATTAATATATGTATATATATATACATATTACATCCATAGTTTCATCATGAAATCCCCGCAACATCCATCAGTTCAATCTGGCGGTTGCCCTGGGAGCCGGTACCACCCAGGGCGGTTTCGACGCGGACGCCGACACGGACTCCTGCGCCTGTCACTATCTTATTTGGTAGCAATTATACCATTTGGTTATTTAACATAGCCATGGAAAATCACCATTTTCAAAAGGTAAACCATCTATAAATGTTGGAAGACAAGGATCAAATGTTGGGAAAATCCTCAGTTGAAATACCCTCTGGTTATTTGTCACATAGCCATGGAAAAAAGGTTTGGCTCTAGCGCCCCACGGTAGTCACGCTCCCAGGGACCTAGAAGCCATTTCCTAAGCGGGTTTTTATTTGTGGCTTGCGAACCCGCGGGCTTGCTGCTGGCTTCGTCGCCAAGCACAACAAGCCTTGATCGGGACATATTTGCCTTAGCTGCTGTTTGCTCAGCCTCTGGCTTTCTATTTGGGCTACATTTCACATTTACATTTTTCTGGATTCACTGGCATTGTTTGCTTTTTGCATTGGTATAAGGTTGATTTTCCCTTTTGCCTGGCATCTTTGCAACCTCTTGCAACAGTATTATCCAGAAATTTATTGACCTGGCACTGCGGGGGCCGACAACCGTGCATTTGGACAATTTTATTGGTTCTACTTGACGGTATTTTCCCTTGCATCCATTCTACCCATCAGCTGCTGTTAAATTGGCCTTTTGGGATTGATTTATGTGCTCAATTTTGTTGATTTTTCTGCTTTTTGTCATTGTCTTTGACTTCGCCCACGATTGCGCCGTCTACTTTGACATTGAGGAGAAAAGCGCGCAGGAATCGCGCCAAAGCCCGACGGGGCTGGTATCTACATCGCACTGGAGTGCGGCCTTTGGGCGCGAAGACGCTCAAAAAGGTACACAAGGTACTCAGCCATCATCATTCCAAAGATCTTTCTTTTTTACAGAAGATTTACAACGCCATGACGGACATGGACGAAGCGTATCCATGGCATTGCGGCACATGCCATCGATTGAACAAGAAGGTGCACACAAAGTGCCCAAATTGCCACACTCATTGGAGTTATGGCACCAGGCATCGCACCGAGCCGAAGACGGTGCCGGCCTATCAATCCTCTGTCTACAGGGATTCGTGGGAAACTTGGGATCAAGATTGGAAGAAATGGGAGAAGGATCAAGGATGGCCTGCTCAACGGCCACACTCTGCCTCCAGGCCGAGAACCAAAAGTCCGAGAGGCCGAAAGGGCAAAGGCAAGGCCTCAGAGGCCAAAGGGAAAGATGGGAAGAGCGCTGGCGATTCCTTTGCCGCTGTATCTCCCTTTGGCCCACTTGCCCCATCTGCCACACCATGGCCAGTGGCAGACGCTGCGACTGCAAGTTCTCCCTTCCCAGCAGCCAATACATTGATTCAGTCTGCACAGGATGTTGCTGCTATGGCAGAAGCTCTCAAGGAAGCATACCCCGACGAGGCCTTGAGGCCACAGAATGTGAAGGATATGATCGAGAAGGCCGAGCGAGATGCGGTGAAAGATGTCGCCAAAGGACTTCACTCCGCGACCAAGGCGCTCAGCAAGGCCCAGAAGACCCTTGCCGAGAACCTCGATGCCAAGCAACAACACAAAGCACAATGGGCCAAGCATGTCGGCGAGGCGATCCAGACCTGGCAAGGCCAGTTGCAGAGCTACCGCAGACAGCAGACGGCCTTTCAAGAAATTACCAACAAAGCCAAGCAGGATATCGAGATGGCCAGAAATACGATCCAACTCCTGAATGCCAAGGCAGCCAACACAGGTTTGGCCACAGCCACACCCTTGGCGCCAAAGCTGGAGGCGGAAGAGTCATCCGACATCGACAAAGAAGAGGAAAAGTTGAAGCAATCTATGCAAAAGGTACTGCAGAGTTGTGCGCAGTCTTTGGGTCTCGATCTTGGCAAAGCACCGGTAGAGGAAGTGCACGAGGTCAAGTCAGACGACGAGACACAGACACTCCCTGCTCCCAAGCGCCCAAGATCATTAGAGCCCTTTCCAGGGCATGTGGCCTCCTCTATGGAATCGTGAACTTTGGCGGTGTAGCTCCAGTTCTTTGTAATGGAATGCATGACGCCTTGTTCAGTGCAGGGTTGCCTGGTGAGTCATTGAACACCGGCACTTACCTGCTGACAGATTGTGATGCTTATCAGTTGATGCCTTGGTCGCATTCTATTTGGGATGAACCGAATTTCCTTTACCCATTTGATGCGGTGCTTCGTGCACAGAGCCTTTCCTTGTCCTTGTACAAGGAGGAAACTGAATGCAAGCTGGGTTTGCTGCAAGCTTTTTCTGAATCCCCTATAGGCTCCCATGATTTGACTGATTTTGCATCCGATCTCCAGAAGCATGATTGCCAACTTCTCTCGAAACATCACTCGCCATTGAAATCCTGTTTCTTGTCAAGGTGCCGTAAAGAAACTTATGTCAAGAAAAGCATTTGTTTCCGAGACACTATTGATCTCTATATTGGCATAGATCAGGAAATTACCATGAAGTACACCTCCGTTGAGGTTGAAGCATTTTTGCAGTGGACTGCCAAACCATGGCGGCTCCGACCATCCCAGATTGATGCCCTTGAACCTGAAGATGATCCGCTGTCCAGCCGGGCCGTGTTGATCTCCGGGGGAAAGGAACCGAGCCTCGATAATGGAATTCCTGCTCCTATTCAAGCCAGATTGACTGATGAACACGATAACATTCCTGTCAGAGTTGCTCAGGCCAGTAGGGAACCTGTTCAAGCCAACGGCCCAGTGGAACGACAATTCCAGCCGCCGGCATTTGTCAATGACTTGTTTAGTTTGCCTGGTTTTCTTGCATTGCCACCGAATTTCTTGTTTGAAAATGGAATCACAATTCGAACATGGTATTTACATCATGTGCATTACCCTAGATGGATTGTGCCTCGTTTGGTAGAACTGGACCACAACTGGGGTCGCTGGCAAAGTGACATTGCAAATGCTTGGAGAGAAATGATCATCCATGCTGAAGATGTCCAATTTTTCACAGTCATGCCAGATCCTGACCGCAGTTACATCCCTCGGCAGATTTTAGCTGATGTGATTGTCGCCCAAGGCATAGATGCTAACCGATATGCAGGTCTATTGTCGGTACATCAACAGACACCCACAGGTCATCGACGGCCTTTTGCGGTAGCCATTTCCCTCCCCGACGAGGTTAGTGGAGCTGGACTGGCCAATGCGGCAGACATTTCACATTTGTGTCACGCTGAAGTTTGTAATTTCTATTTCGGATGGCAGCACATTCCATTCAGCCTTGTGCCTGCGCATTACATGTTAGATGGACATGGATTTGCGTTGCATATTACTCCAAGAGTTCGCCGTTCCACAGCAGGATCTTCTGAGGATAACAGTGGATCTCTCCGAGATCAGCCTGCCTCTGTCAACCAGAATGCTGCTCCTGGTGCTGGCCACATGGCACAGGAACATGACTATGATGGAGAAGATTCGGAACACACGACTGACACGTCGATTCCGCGCTCATTGACCCAATTTGAGCAATGGCAAGGTGTACAGATTTATAGGCTGGGTAGATCTGTTGTGCATTGTTTTTTGCGTTGGGATACCTATAACTCCATCATTCATGACATCGCTCGCTTCTTGCGTGAACATCTTCGGAACCTGGTCGGTATTCACCATGTACAGGCCATCCTTGCTGGACAGCATGAAGCAGAAGATTCCATAATCTTACAGTATGTCAATGATCTTGCGTTAGGTTCTTTGGAGCAGTTAATTATCCTGGATGTTGAAGTGCATTTCCAACCGCTGCCTGGAGGAATGCTGAGAGCACCAGAAGTCTCCAGAAATGTCCATCGCGTTGTTCCACAATTGTCCAGGTCCC